AAGCCACTTCATTATTCTAGGATTCTATCCAGTGCAATCTTAACTTTTGTCTTTATTGATACCAGTTTTGGAAAGGGCCTACTGATATTAAGAACTCTTTTTTTATATATAATTCATTAAAAAAAGTTGTTGATTTTTTTTGTGTGTGTATATATCACACAGAACATTTCAAACCGTCTTATTCAACTATACACCCACTTCCACATGGCACCCTCTCATAGCCTCCCTCCCCCCACTAGAGCCCTTATACTCTGATATCCCTGCTACTGTCTGCTGTGTTGTTGGCACCCCTGGCCATTCCCCACTACTTGTCCATCTGGTGAATCTAGTCAGCCCATCTAGAGGTCTTTGTTTTAGGAGGGGTAGCTGTTCCTCAGCTAGCAGCGATCAGTTGTCAATATTCCTTTAGATAAGATTGGGGTCTGCTGTGCATTTTCCCAGTTCTATGCTGGGTTACTATCTGGGAGTCCCTTGGGCCAACCTGGCCAAAACTCAAAAGAAGGTGTCTCCTATCTGGCATTGTTGCTTGTTATGTAGCCTTTAGCTATACATAGGGACTCTTAAAAAAATTATATTGGCCCCTTTAATCTTTGGTTATACTTTCCTTTTCAGTGTTTAAGGCCATACAGTTGGCCCAGATAAACCAATGTATTTTTACTCTTAAGGCCATTTGAGGATCTGTTCCTCAGGGGTCACATGGGCTTGGGAGGAGCCCCTTTCTTTTACCAGTTCCACCTATGTGAAGATAAGTGAAAGGTCCTGCTCGACCATGGCTGGCTTCACTTGGAAGCATAGAGGAAATGACTCCTCTGTGTTGACCCTCCTCTTTGTAGACTGGACACTAGTCCATCTCATGGAGTCTCCTCGGCCTCCTTGATCAAGAGGACAGGTGACTCACCACAATTACAGGACATTTTGAGAGATGCTCATAGTCCCCTGGAACTCGTCAAACCTAGGAGGGCAAGGAGCAAAAAACTGTCCTTTATGTCCCCCTGACCAAATTAGTATAGGCCTCAAAGTATGTCTGTTAAACATCCAAGAGACAGAGTCTTCCTGTAGCTCCAGCTGGCCTGGAATTCACTATGTAGACCAGGCTGGCCTTGAAGTTCCAGAGATCTGCCTGCCTCTGCCTCCCAAGTGCTGGGATTAAAAGCAAGTGCCACCACACCCAGCAAGAACTCTTAAATCAATATGCATAGTTTGAAGTTAAGTACAAATGTCTGGTGGCAATAATTAGAATTTGGGTTTCCTTAGGATTATGAATGTTTAAATACCTACATACTAGATTTAACAGGAGTCAGACACCTATAATTATATACCTATAATTCCAGCATTCAGGAGGCTGAGGTAGGGGGGTCCTCAAGTTTGAGGTGAGCCTGGGCTGCCTTGTGGGAACCTGTCTTGAAAAAAAAGAAAGAAGGAAGGAAGGGAGTGAGGGAGGAAGGAGGAAAAAAAGAAGGGGAGGGGGACGGAATGAGATTTGATAATAGTCATTTATTATTATTGGTATTGTTATTGTTTTGGAGACAGGGTCTCATATAACCCAGGCTGGCCTCAAATTCCTGTTCTTCCTGCCTCCACCTCCCAAATGCCAGGTTCTAGAATTGCACTACTACATCTGGCTTATGCAGTGCCAGAGATCAAAGCTCTGTGCACATTAGGCAAGCACTCTGCCAACCAAGTTGCATCCCTAGCCTCTAGTTAGTTTATTGAAGATCTCTTTTCTATATTAACCAAAGATTTCTAATACTAGATTTACATATGGCTCATTTCTCTTTTAAATTTTTATCTTTTATTATTAGTGTGTGTGAGGTCAGAGGACAACTCTGTGGCACGGCTCTCTTATTCCATTTTCGTGTGAGTTCCAGGGATCAAACTCGGTTGTCAGGCTTGTGTGGCAAGTGGTTTACTCATTGAGCCATCTTATCAGCTCTCCCTTAACATTTTAAGGGTCAAGTGGCCTGTATTCTCTTTGGCTATGATTTGATTACATCAGGGATTCAGTTTTCTAGAGCTTTCAGGAAACTTGAAGCTGGTATTAATGTTGCTAGCACTTGGCAATAAATAATTATAGTGCAAATGACTAAATTTGGAGCATAGAGAATGGCTCTAGGGGGAAGCCTTAAGAAAATGCTGTGTGTGAGGACTGTAGGAGGTGCTAATGGGGTGGGAGTGAGGGGCAGAGGTTGTTGAAAGATGGACCAAGCAGCAGCCACTATTGATATATTCTGGTCAGAGATTTTATACCCACCAAGCCATCATTAATGCTAGCCAAATGCCCCTGAGGGAAGATGTCCACACTCATCCTCCCAGGTCTCCAGGTAAACCAGAAGCAGCAGGAGAGGCAGAAGCTGTTAACCTTTTTCACTACTTCACTCTGGAAAGGATGAATTAAAGTTGACCAGCCCAATGTTTTCCATGGCCCAGAGGGAGCTCTCTGTTACCATCATCCAGGCCCACTCCTTTGGCAGATGGTATTAGAGGCTCTGTTTGGAGTCTTGTGCCTATACATCCCAAGGAGAAACACCTGCTTCCTAAACAAGGGCACTTGTAGCTATAAGCCCAGACTTAGCTTGTACCTCTTCATTCTCCACTGGGACTGCAGACCACTCTGCCTGTTTGACCATCTTTACCCTGCATTCCATGTATCACTCTGTGCTCCAAAGTCTTTACTACTTCTTCTAGTGCTGCTAGAAACCTAAAGGGCTAGATAGGCAGGTGATTCCCTGCTTTCTAGATTGAGGCTGTTCATGAATTTTAAAAAAAAAGTTAAGAATTCTTTATTGTGTGTTGTGTTATAGAGAGAATTCTGCTTCCAGAAGGCTAAAAGCCTATAGAGTCTCATTATCTTTCCTGGGTACTAACTGTTTCTGCAAACTAGAAAAGTGGTGCAAAAATTTCTGCCTTTCACAAGGCCACCAACCCTTCGCCATCCCAGATTAGGATTAGAGAGTCATCTGTCACTGAGTAATTTATAAATCTCTGAGCTGGAACTTGTGGCAGCTTTAGAGGGAGAGGACTCTTTCCCCTCCTAACATTATGAGACTGAGGCCTAGGCCCACCAATGCCCCAACCCTACCACTGCCTTCCTTTGCTACTTGATCTCTACCTGGCTGCCTCCCTGTCCCTAAACCTCCTGCACTCTTGGACCAATAGTGTGGGAAGGAGGGGGTGGAGGCAGTAACTGAGGACAAGAAAAAGCAGTAGTGTAGGACTCTGACCATGGTGCTCTCTAAGTGGAGTCCAGTGGATCCTCTGTCTCCTGCTTGGCCTGACCTCTTCTCCCACAGCATTGGCTCCCAGGTAGAGTGGTTAATCAATAGTCCAACCATCATCTCTCAAGTATGTGTGACACACAGCTGTGACCTCCCTGAAATGACTGACCAGCAGGTCACTTGTCTGGACATGGTGGCCCTCTGGAGGCAGACACTGTGTGCAGGTCACAGAGAGGGAAGGAGAACTGTGGTTGCCTTGGAGGTAAAAACATAAAACAGTGATAGTATGAGCCCAGAGACAAAATGGCTAAACTGGTTTACCTGGTCTCCTTCTACAGAACCATTTCCACAAACCAATCTACATCTGTTCATTAAAGTATCCACGATTGTGTCTATTCCTCACTTTTTTTGAAAAAGATCGGAAACTAAGCACGTTAACTGTGCTGCAACAAAGGGTGAGCTAAGCCTACCAGACACAGTGCAGGGAGAGTGTGTTAGCTACAACCCAAGCCTGTAGTTCCCTCTGCCAGGCGCTTCTCTCCAGAGGACCTTCAGCTCCTCTAAGCAACAACCCCCAAACTCCCCGCTCCATCTGCCTCAGTTCCTCTCTCCTCTCAGGAGGTGGTGTTGCATGCCCCACTTTCCTTGGATCCCTGAGTGGAATTGCTCCCTGTGTCCCTGGCGGGATGGGGCTTTGAGAGCCTTTTGTCACTGGCTTTTTGGGCCTTTTTGCATCTCCCGAGGCTCCCCATCACCGCAGGGACTTTCCCAAACCTGAGCTGGGGCAGGCACTCTAGTGTGTTTGTGCGTGCGTGTGCACACACGTGAGTGCGTAGGTGCTCCGGGCGCGGGGAGGGAAAAAGCGCGGAGTCCGGGCTCTGCGTCACTCCTGCACCTGGTCAGAGATCGGTTTAGTGGTGTTTAATCCAGGGGGAGCACGTCAGCCCCACTGTTTGCGCGAGTCCCCGATTTTCCTGCCGGGTGTGCCTGAGATCTCTCTCTACCACCACCCAATCCTGGTACAGGAAGAAAGGTGATGTGGGGAACGCAGGTACTGGGTAACCTGCGGATGTTGCGCAGGGTTCACCCCGGCCATTTCGGAGGGAGGAGAGCGCGCCGATGAGCCCGGCTGCGGAAGCGCGGGCTGGCAGTGCCACCTGCTGAGAGCCTCGCACGCCGAAGCAGCGGCGGGCAGTGCCACCTGCTATAAATAGGCCGCCGAGGAGGACACGGTGTTCGACCACACATCCCGCTGCGAGGGCCGTAATCACGCGTGGCCCGGGTCCTCGGCTCCGGTGGAGTACACCGGCCGGGACCTCCCGCTGGGGCTGGATGGGGCGGCGACCCGCGCACCCGGCGAGTGCCCTCCTCCGGCTGAGGCTGGACCACTGGCCAGCGAGGGGAGGGAGGCCGCGGCGCACCCGCACTGCAGCAGCTGTTGCTCTCCTGTGACTCGCCAGTCCGGGTCGTGCCGCCCGGCCAGAGTCTCACGGCGCCTCGGGGAAGGGAGAGCATCGCGTCCCCGCCTCTGCTCCCCTGGGACCCAGTCGGGAGATCCCGGCTGCCGCCCTTCCCTCGCCTCCCCAGCGCTCGCCCAGCCCGGGAGGAGGAAACTAGAGCCGCGTGCAGACACCTCCTCCTCCTCCTCCTCCCCCGTTACCTCCTCCCCCTTCTCGGTGGCTGCTGCTGTCGTCGCCGCCGCCGCCTGCACCACTGTGCGAGAGCCGCGTGCAGACACCTCCTTCTCCTCCTCCTCCCCCGTTACCTCCTCCTCCTTCTCGGTGGCTGCTGCTGTCGTCGCCGCCGCCGCCTGCACCACTGTGCCTGTTGCTGCAAGCCGCCGCGGAACCCACGGCGCTGCAGCCGGGAGGAGAAGCGGCGCGAGACTGCAGAGCGGTCCCCACCCCAGCTGCTGGTGGCGGGAAGAACGCAGCCAGCAGGGGATGATGGATACCCCTCCCGCCCCGGCCATCTCCGGGCTTGCCCCAGGCACCTGCGCTCCCCGGCCTGGCCCGGGGCTCTGAGCGCACAGGTAAGTGCCACCCCAGGTCCCTCCAGCGCATTTTGCGGCCCCCCACCTCCAGCACGCCCCAGAGCTCCCTGCCAGCGGAGAAGGCGCTGTCCTCCATGCCAGGGGCGTTGCTGCGGGGTCCCTCAGGGTGAGCTGGGGGCCGGGGTCGGGGAGGACTTCCAGTGCCACCTCGTTGTCTCCCACTTAAGGGGAAGTGAAATCTTGATGCTCATTGCGACCGGGTGGTTAGGCAGGCTTCTTAGCCCCCCGCCCCCGCCCCCGTCTCTCCCGCGGGGCATTTTCCTGTCTTCTCCCTCAGGCCAAACATCACCAGGGCCAAGGGCTGTGAGGCGCCCAGCTTAGGAGGAGGGTGGTCAGTGACCCCAGGCCACCTTTTAAAAGTTCAAGGTACTTTGCAATAATAAGTTTGGCAGTTTCTCTGTGCGCGCAACATTTCTTTCTATGGGCACATCCTGTCCCAGTCATTTTGAAAGGCTGCTAAATTGTTTTCTAGCAGCTTCCGGATCACCATGTGTGTCTGAGACTCCCTCAAACTTCACTACACGTTACTGTTTTCTTCTTTTCTAAAAGATGTGTCGTTTTGTTTGAAATCCACTAGATGTGACTTTCCCAGTTGCAATTTAAGAATGGCTTGTATTCCGGAAGTTGCTTTAAAAGGAAAAGAAATTGAAAGTGATGCTGTTCCTCTCACCATTTAATTTTCAGTGCCTTGTATTAATGGGCAGGCGTTCACCTCCCACATCTCGCATTCTTCTTTCTTTTCTGATGACTGGGAGATTTCATTTATTAGTATAAGCATTTATTAGTATAAGTTTTTAAGTGATTTGATTTAAATGGGTCACGCCCATGAAACTCAGCTATCTCTACAAGTCTGAACTTCTAAACTTCTTGCGCCGCACTTGCGGGCCCTGATAAGTAGCCCTGTTTAGGAGAGTAGGTATTGATTGTCTTCCCCCACGTGAATGGGATTGCTCAGAGTTAGAGAACAGCGATGCCTGAGTTTTGCTGTTTGGAGAGCCTGCTCCCGGGGTCTGAGTGGGAGAATAGAAAGGAGGGCTGTTCCCAGAGCTGGCTGTGCATCTTGCAAATTGCTTTCACCAGTCTGACCATGTTCTATTCTGTGCTTGGATTTGGGCTCACTGAAGCAGGGTTCTTGTATCTTTTCCTAGCATTTAGGGAGCTCTTTCTGGTTAGGAAGGTGTGGCTCAGAATCAGCTCCTTCCTGGGAACCCTGAAGACTGGCTCAAGGAATCAGTAAGTTTCCACGAAAGTTTGTAAGCTGGTGATAGCTGTTTGAAACGTGATGCTTTCAGTCTCCTATGTATCTGTTTCTTGTTTTCCCACCAAGTTTTAGGGAAATAAGTCTAACCGTCCAGATTTAGCCGTAAGTAGCCATTGACATAACCTGAGCTACTGGGTAGCTGGGACAGCTGTGAGTTGCAGAGTACCCTGGAAAATGCTGGATCTAAGTGGAGTGTCCTGACTCTTAAGTGATGACAAAGTCACATTAAAGGGATCACTTGTGGTTCAAAAGAGGACATAAAATCATCAGGTGATAATGAAAAGAGATGCCTTTTTGTGGATTTGTTTAGTCATTTGGAAACCAGTAGAAGGAAAAGAATAGTTGTGAATTATTAACTCCATAAGAAAGCTTTGCAGTGGGGCTTCCTCTGCCAGTCTTTCATAACCCATCTCACCAAGAGCTTGAGGGTTCACTGTTCATCATGGGAACATTTCTGGCTGGATGGCAGTCATGTCGATATTTACCTCTTACCCTATAAGACACATTTTGTCACAATGTCATCTGTCACAGGGTATTCTGAGAGAATGGGGGTGGCTGAGGGAACAGGACTTAATGTCTTTGCTCTCACTGTCTAGCCTTTGATTATCTCTGATCCTGTTTACCCAGAAGGCAGCCTGGACCAGGAAGGCTGCAGTCATGACAGGGTGGTGCAGAGGCAGCAGCTGTGGGTGTTCTTTTCTCGCCTGTTGCCCTCTAAGCTGTGCCTGGGTTTTGTTTGTTTTCCCAACAGCTACCTGATAGAACAAGGGGCAAGGTAGAGAGCAAGATGCTTGGGAGACTGTTTTGAACAGGCTTCTCTTTTATCTCACCTAATGATTGCTTCCTGAAACCCCTACCCTCCCCCTAGCACTTCTCTGTAGGTTCCCTGTTCCCAAAGCTTTCAGATTCTTCAAGAAAACCTGAAACATGTATTACCATGTGGGGACGTGTGTGTGTGTGTGTGTGTGTGTGTGTGTGTGTGTGTGTGTGAGTTTGACCCAATTTGCTTTGCCCTTTCTGTCTGCTGTGGTGCCCTTCTCAAGTTCAGCGATGACAATAATCCCAGTACTTGATCTGACTCCAGCCCTGTTCTTTTCTTGGTCATTAAAACTTCTAGAAGTAGAATCTGTTCATTAAAATGACTGAATGCCCTCAGTAGCCAAGGCATGTAGAGATTCAGATCCCAGGAGCTATGACTGTGGACTTGGTCCTCAGTCAGAACTGTGCCCTTGCAGCCAGCTTTGCTGTCTTTGCTTTTCAAACCTACATATCAATGAAAATATTTTCAAGAAGCTGCCTCACCAAAGACAAAAATTTTGACATTTTCAAGTCAAAACTTCAGTTTGATTGGTTCATAGATTTAAGGGTGTTGGCTCTCTTCTCAGGCTTCAAATGTTTAGGAAAGTTTTGGACCATATGAAATAATCCTGACACGTAGGTTTCAATGAAACTTTGAAGGATATAGGGAATACGTTTTACTACAAACACATATGTTTAATTCTGGAATTTGCTGCTTCCATCAAGGTAACAACAGCCATTTCTTTCTTAGAAGGCAATACCTGCTGGGTGTGGTAATGCCCACCTGTAGTCCCTGGTACTCAGGGGGAGGGGAAACAAGAGGATCAGAAGTTCAAAGTCAACCTTGAGAACACAGTGAGTTTTCAGCCAGCTTGGGCAAAGTGAGACCATGTTTCCAAAAACCAAACCCAAACAAACACCCCCCCCCCAAAAAAAAGATAACATACTCTTTTAACTTTAACGAAACATTATTTATGACTTGGCATGGTCATTCACACCTGTAATTCCAGCTGCTCTAGAAGCTAAAGCAGGAGGATGGAAAGTTTGAGACCAGTCTAGTCAATTTAGCAAGACTTTGTTTTAAAATCAAAAGAAAATAGGGATTGGGGATATAGCTCAGTGTTGGGGTGCTTGCCTAGCATAAGCGATGTCCTCTGTTCAATTCCCAATACTGTGAAAATTTAAAAAAAATCCTATGTGATCAATGAATCTAAACTTCCAAAGTAAGTGAGCAGTTTTGAGTTTTTCAGAATTTATGAACTTTTACATGTAAAGTACTTAAAATGCCTAGTGAGAACTCAATTAAAATTACTTATTGCTATTATTTATTTATTTTCTATATTCTTTTTGGATTTTACTGAAACTATGCAAATTTTATAGAGGAAAAGTAGTTAGCCTATTAAAAAGATATTTGAGAGTTTTTCCCTTCTAAGATGCTGTTACAGTGGAAAGAACAGAAATTTGTGCATAAGGCAGATTTGGATTCAGATCTTGCCTTCCTGGTGAACCCTTCTGTCAAATGGGGAGAACGAGATATACTTCTCGGAGTTAGGGGAGTACAGAACAGAAGGGCATCTGTGTCAAATGTCCAGGAAGATGGGGTTAGTTATGTGTGTTCCTCTGCAGTAGTAAAGGATGAGCACAAATCCAAGAGCCAAAAGGCCCAGGTTCAAATCCCTATTTGACACTTAGCTGACCTTAGGCAAATGTCCTTACCTCTCTAGCCACTATTTCCTTCTCTCTCACCTTTAACTTGAGCATAATGATAATCATGATTCATAATCATCCTTATCGTCTAGGGCTATTGTGAATTAAGTAAGTTAATAGACACACAGTGCTGTCTTGTGTTAAGTGTTGTTGCTACTACTTAAAGCAGTTATGCAAGAGAAGAGGTTGGTTATTCATAACCCCTGAAGGACACCTAGGATCCCTGTTTTCTAGCCCTTTATCTTATAATAAAATATAAGAGAACACGAGAAGGGGCTGTGGCATGCTTATAGGACTGGCTTGAGTTAGTCCTTATTTATGTGAGAAATCATTCAGAAAACCATTGATTTACATGTTGAGTTAGAGAGGCCCATCCTGGCACTGAGAATCTACAATGAAGCAAAGTTGGGGACCACTGATTTCCAGGGCTCCATGGTTACAGCTACAAGGATCATTGCTGCCTGACCACAACCCTGACTGGAGTGGGGTTCTGTGGAGGAAGTGACAAGCCATTTTCTTAAACCAGTGGTCCTACTCTGTGAGATTAGAGTAGTCCAGGTTGCAGTGTAATTTTGCATAGGTACCTGTCCACCTAGTTAAAGCATTGATCCACAGGAGGGAAGTCCACCTGGGACCTTCCTGCTGCTTCTGGGGTCCCCAGTAGCTAATCTACTGTTTCCTAACCTGACTGGAGCTAGTGGCTCCTAGCCTTTTCTCTACCCTCTTTTCTCTGTCTTAATCTGTTTTGTGTCATATAATAAAGTATCCTAGGCCAGTGGAGAGAGACCAGGCTCCTTTATAACCTTTTTGTGAGACCTAATACACTCCTGGAGAAACAACCTACTCCTTGAGGTACCAACCATGGGCTGTCATGATTCAATCACTTCCCTCTAAGTCCTTTCTTTTAAAGGTTCCGCCACTTCTCAACACCATTGCATTGAGTGCCAGGCTTTTACAGTCTGACCCTTTGTGGCATCCACTCAAACCACTTCAAGCTCTAGCACCCTTTGACCAGTATTTGAGGTCTTGAGGGCTGAAACTTTGGAGGTATGCTATTTGCTTCTGGAAAATCCCCATCCAACCTCTGTGGTTTGCAAGGTGAGGCAACCTGTAGCCAGGAAGAAAGGGACTTCCCCCAAGACAGCTTGCGAAGCTCTACCCTGGCTTTTCTTGTTCCCAGCCTTTCCTCATCTCCCCCACATTTTTGTTCTTGAAGGAAGACTGAAGCAGCTTTGTATCCTCACACAATGTGGGGGACATTTGGTATTATGCATTATGGAAATTATATTCACCAGATTTTAGAGACAGAAGAAACTTGGAGATGATCTTATTTTATTCTCCTATAAGAATAAACTTCAGATTTGGAGAAGTTAAGTAACTTGCTTTTTCAACTTCACACTTGAACATGTTCTCATGGGGAAATTGAGGTTCTTTCCAGCTTGGGGATGAGAGTCAGGGACTTGGACTGTCCCAATTCTGTCACTAAATTTGGACAATCTGCTTTTCCAGGATGCAGTTGCTTCATTTCCTATATGAGGGGAATTTCTAACTGGTTTTGAAGGACCCAGTTCTCTTTAAAGCTTATGATCCTAACTACATGCTCCTGGGGGCAGGGGACAGAGCAATGAGGCAGAGCAGGCCTCATTAAGAAGATTATTGAAAATATTCTAGGAAAAGGGTGTTTGGATAGCTGCTATGTTTAAGGGTCTCTCTAGAAAGTCAGGCTTGTACACACATGACTCTACTAACCAGAGCTTAAGTGAAAACCCACTAGAATAATAGTTCACAATGTATTGTGTGTACAATATGGAAGAGACCTGGGAATAGGTGGTTCTTGGAACTTAAAAGGCAAAATGTTCTCCCTGGGGTTGAGTGAAAATTATGTGGATTGGGATAGCCTTCAAAGCAATGTGGTGGTCTGCTAGAATTATGGAATAGTTCATTTATTTCATGACACTTTTTTTTGAGGCAGAGTCTCACTATGTAGCCTTGGCTAACCTTGAACTCACTATGTAGACCAGGCTGGCCTCAAATTCACAGAGATCCACCTGCCTCTGCCTCTTGAGTGCTGGGATTAAAGGCCTGTGCCACGACACCCGGCTTTAGGACACTTTTGATTGAAAAGTAATATAATTATTTACCTAGTCTAAATTACTCTGAATTTCATTGCGTTAGTTACTTTTCTTGTTACTATGACAAAATACCAGACAGAAGCAACTGAAGGGAGGAATAATTCATTCATTCATGGTTTCAGGGAACATATCAGTTTGTCACAGTGGTCGGAGTGGGCTAGTGTGTTGGTGAGAGTGTGAAACTAGGCTCCAGATCTGTCAAGAATGACAGATCAGAAAGCAGAGATCTTGGGCTGAAACCAGAGGTGGTTATAACCTTCAAGGCCTGCCCCTAGCAACCCACTTCTGCTAGCTAGGCCATACATCCCAAAGTTCCTGAAACCTCCCCAAACAGCACCACCAGTGATTAAAACAGGAGCCACATCCAGTTCACATCCAAACCACGATGCTTATATTTGAATAATCTGAATTACTTATAAATAATGTGACTATGTCTGATATTGAACTTAAATTTAATATTTCCTAAGCACTATTAACTTCTAAGCAGCTTTTTCCTGATAAACTAAGAACATTCCACAGCTGATTGAAAAGTGAAGCACTTTAAGCATTCAAATACCTTTGTCAATAAAATGGCAGAATAAATTTGATGATTGAATTTACTAAGGGATTTAAATAACAAAACTGAAAGGAGTTTTACTCTGCTTGTTGCCGCCTGATTAATAACTGCTTTACCCAAAATAATTAATAAATCTCAGATCTGTCCTTTGTGGTAATTCTAAAATTTCTTTAAACGTGTCTTGGGATTAGCAGCTGTCAACGGTTAAAACTTAAAGCAGATTCAATTACAGGACTGGACGTCAATCCAGACATTTAATGCCATTTTCTCCTGTAATGTAGGGAGAAGGAGAGAGAGGAAAGGAGGGAGAGAGAAAGAGAGGGAGAAAGAGAGATGAAAAAGGAAGAGGAGGGAGGAGAGAAGGACGGCGACAGGATGAGGAGGAGGAGAAACTATTATTTATTGGATTATATGAACTTTCGGATGATTTTCATTATCAGGAGTAACCGTACACTAAAGGAAGAGAGAGACCCTAACCGTCATAAAATATATTTAGGCTCTAAATAATGTATTGCTTTATTGGTAAATGTTTGAACATTTGAAATAAAGTTAGCTCTGAACCATGTTCAAATTATAAAATTTTACTTTTAGAATATATGCATATATAAAATATAAAAAAGAGTAAAGAACAGACTTTATTTCTATTTTAGAAAAAGTTTAAAATTTGAATACTTTATTTTCCTCACCCCAATCCTTAAAAGTTTGTGAAAGCTTGCCATCCTGTTGAAGGATGCCTATACAGACTCTGAATGTAAATGTGATGATGAGGTACGAAGTACAAAGATGTAAAGTGTCTGCTGATGGCAGCTCTAGATCACCTAGGAAGGAGGCTATTGTTACTCCAACCATGGTGTAGAGATGAGCTGGAATTAAAGGACAAGAGTGGGGCTAGTTGGAAGCTGGGTCTCCAGGGGTCGCCCATGTTTCTATGCATCTCATGAGCAGGGGCACTGAATACCTTTGTTCTGAACTACATTGCCCATCATGCTTCTAGAGCAAACAGCTATGGAAGACAAAAATAGTGTCTTCCTCTGGTGCAAGGGGGACTGTATTACTCTGCACACATTCAGGTTCCCTCAGCCCAGCTTCTTCTACTATAACTTGCTGTGATACTGGTGTCACCTGGCCTGTGGAGAGTGGGGGTCAGGGGGTCAGGGAATCAGCATCAGTGCTGACTCTGATTATTGTTATTGGTCCAAGGAGTCAACTGACCTTTCCCTCCTATGCAGGAATCTCATTTCTTCTCTTAACAGGCTAACTTGGGTAGGCAAACTTGTTAGCTTCAAGCCAAATGTCAGGCCCTTTACAGTCAGTGATCAGTATGATGTTCCAAAGAGAGAGGAATAGTGTGCACTGTGGCACCGGGCCATGAGAAAGCACATCTTAGTTGGGGCCTGTGACTGATTTTCTGTCTTCAAAGCCCCAAAGTGCATGGAAGAGGGCTTTAGGGAGAATACAGGGCTGTGGATTTCAAAGAGAACTTCCATGTGTGGAGTTCATGGGGGATGGTTACTGGGGGAATTTCAGCAGGGTGACATGATAAACGCCGTGTGTTAGCAAAATTGCTGTAGTAAATATGCAAGACATGGATGGAGGGACAGAGCACCTTTACTCTAGGGGAGGAAAAGGTCAGATATATTTATATGGTAGAGTCAGAGGACTGATGAGATGAGGAAGGAATCTCAATGTCTCTGGCCAGGGCTATCATATGGACTCAGAATGCTGCCAGAAGGTCCATGTGGTGAAAGCTTGGTCCTTGGGGAACCACTTCTGAGAGATGCTGGAACTTTTTAGAGGTGAGACCTTGTGGGGGGCCTTCATGTCATTTGAGGGTGCCCTTGAAGGGGATGGTGGGATGGGTTCCCAGCTCCTTTGTCTTCCTCTCTTTGGGGCCTAACCTTGAGGTAAGTGTTGTAGCTTACCCACACATTCTGGCCATATGTCCTACCTTACCTAAAAACCACAGCACGACCAGTCACAGACTGAAGGTCTGAAATCAAGTAAACTTTTTGTCTTTATAAGTTGTCTCAGGTGTTTGATAAAAGAAAACATCTAACGAAATCAGTAGAATGAATAATTATGCTGTTTGCTGAGCATAGTTCTGGGAAAGAGGGAGATGAGAACTAAGTTCTTTGTAAAACAACTAAACTCAAGCTGAGGTGCCTATCAGCTGATCAGACAGGATATGAATGACAGATCTGGAACCCAGAAAGAGGACTTCTGTGGGAGGAAATCACTTGAGAAACATTAGAATGCATGTGATCGGCTCATTCTTGGGCAGCAGTCAAGAGGAGCGAATTCAGAGCCACGTGCAAACTCTCCCATGCCACTTTTTGATAAGCGACTGAAGCTAGGCTTTGGTTTTTTAGTTCACAAGAGTAGCCTCTCGCTGATGAACTAAAATGAGACAGCATAGTAAAGTGTCTCCCATTCATAGTGAGGATGGGGCTGCCAGCACCAAAAGACTAGGTGAGAATGTCCAAAGAAACAGCAGATGGAATTAGAGGGAGGATGAAGGCCTGAAAGGACCTGAAAACAAGCATCCTGAAGGTAAGACATGTCTGGAAGAGTCTCAAGAAAGGAGGTATTCAGGGCAAGGGAAATGGCTCAATGGCTAAGTGTTTATGAGGACCAGAGTTGGGATCCTCAGAACCCACATAAATGACATCAATGCCAGTGAGCATGGAAGCCCACCTGTAATTCCAGTCTAGGAAGGTGGAGACAGGGGTCTCCAGAGCAAGCTAGTCATATCTGCAAGCTCTGGGTTTGATTGAGAGACCCTGCCTAAATGAGTAAGGTGGAAGAAAGGTCCTGGTTGACTCCTGACATCAACCTCAGGCCTCTACATGCATATGTATGCATATGTATGCACATGCAACACACACACACACACACACACACACATGAGAATGGAAAAAGGAAAAAAGAACAAAGAAGGGCGATATAGTCAGTCTGGGAAATTCATCAGAGGAGCAAGGCGGTCGAGGACCGCACCGCTTGCTTTTGGGCTTCACAGCTCGAGGTCCTGGGTGACTAATGGGGGCAGGTTCAGTGGCTCTGCAAATGCAGACAAGGACTTCCCAACAGAAATGGATGGGCAGCAGGAAGAGAAGGCTATAGTGGGCAACACCTGAGAGGAGGAGTTTCTCCCCGAGAAGGTGTGGAAAGGAAGACGTGTGTCTGGGGGAGGCTTGAAGTCAAGGAAAAAATACCTTTCCTTCCCTTTTCTTGTCTTCTTCCTCCTTTTTAGGATAGAAGAGAATTAAATCATTCTTTAAAATACATTCGAGGGGGGACTGGAGAAATGGCTCAGTGGTTAAGAGCACTGGCTGCTCTTCCAAAGGACTGGGATTTGATTCCTAGCACCCACATTGTGACTAATAACAGTCTGTAATTCCAGTTTCAGGGGAAATCCAACACCATCTTCTGACCTCTGAGGACACTGCATGCAAGGATGCACTTACATACACGCAGGTAACACACTCAAACACATAAAATAAAAATAAATTTAAAAATACTTTTGAGGGGGTTGGAGAGATGGTTTGGCAGATAAAAGCACATACTGCTTTTGCAGATGACCAGAGCTCAGTTCCTAGCACCATGTCAGGTGGCTCGTAACCACCTATAACTCCTGCACCAGGGTATCTGACACCTCTGGCTTCCATGGGTACCTGCAATCATGTGCATATATCCACAGACAGGCAGAAACACACACACACACATATAAATATACATAACACACATATACATATACATAATTTCATAAAAACAAATCTATAAGATACTCTTCAGGCCCTATTCTGAGTCAGACACTGTGCTAGGCAGTGGGGAGCCAGGGTGAATGGACAGATGCAGTTGCTGTCCTCATAGTTTCTCCTTGTGTCAGCACTCCAGAGGGACACATGGAGACTGACACCAGGGAGCAAGTGGATAGAGCTTGAGATGCTGGAAGCAACTGAACTTTGCACAAAAGAATTTTGCCATCTACTGGGTCAAGGCCTTAAAATACATCAAACGGGTGTTGCTGACATTCAACAGGGCAGTTCAGTCAAGAGAGTTTCTCATCTGTAGGTGGAGTGGTTCAAGATACTATGGCACATGAATTACAGAAAACAATCTCTAGGACAATGTTTAGAACACGATAAGCTTCAAGTATATGGAATATAACTTTGTGATTCAGCACCTCTAGACAAACTCAGTGGGGTGGGCCTTTTAAATTTTGAACAGGGATCACTCTCTTTTGAGAAGCCCACACCCATATCCTTGGGTCTCACATCCTTCCAGAGCACTTTGCTCTCCTAACCCTAGTACTTAAAATTCATATTGAAGTCTCTTAATAAACTCCAACTGTGCTTTGAAAAACACAGAAAAATAAAATTCAAGGATGGCCTGGGGCCGTAGCTCTGTGGTAGAATGGTTGCCTAAAATGGAGGCCCTGAGTTTTTTTAGAAAAGTGAAATTTGATACAAGTGGTTACGTCAATTGTTTAAGTGGTCTGGTTCAGTAGACTGAGGATGGATGGCCACATAGATTTTTTTTTCCTCACAAGCTTCCTTTTTTTGAGGAATCATTCATACTAAACTTTATTCTTTTAGAGAAATTCCCTGAAATAATTGTTAAGTCATCTAACAGAGTGTGTGGCCATCAGAGCTGTCTCGTTTCCTCCACTGCTTTTCTTCCTGGTTCTGTGAGGTTTATATTCACTAGCAGATTCCCAGTGGGGTTGTTGTGGCTCATAATGAGTGGGAAAGATACACCATTTCCAGGTTTTATATGTAATACAATTTCAGGAATGCTGTTTCTAGGCAGAGTTTATTTGAACCAATATCCATTTCTTTTTACGTTTGGGTTTCAGACTTTTAAATTCTGGAATAATAACTCTCCAAAAGCAGCTACTGCTGTGACTTCATTAAATTCTAATGCCCTGTTTTTCTCCTCCAGGATTCTGCCCTCAGAAGCGTATAAAATAGATTGCTCACTCTAAAATAGGAAAACAGTGGCAAGCTTTTGCTGAATCTCCGGACCTTTCCCAAGATGGAAGCAATCACATTCACGGCAAGGAAACATCCATTCCCTAACGATGTCTCTGTGGACTTTGGCCTGCAGCTGGTGGGCTCCTTACCTGTGCATTCTCTCACCACTATGCCCATGCTGCCATGGGTGGTGGCTGAGGTTCGAAGACTCAGTGGACAGTGCTCCAAAAAGGAGACTGTGATCAAGCCAGTCCGGCTTTGGGTCTCACCTTCTGGACTGAGATGTGAACGTGACCCAGGGAGAAGTCAACAATGGGACCCACTGATCTGTTCCAGCATCTTTGAGTGCAAGCCTCAGCGGGTTCATAAACTGATTCACAACAGCCACGACCCAAGTTACTTCGCTTGTCTCATTAAGGAAGATGCTGCGCACAAGCAGAGTCTCTGCTACGTGTTTAAAGCGGATGATCAAACAAAAGTAAGTTAAGGTGGGGGACCCCAAAAGATATGACTTGGCTGCATGGTTTGTAAGGTTAGGATGGTCAGGATGGTCAGGTACAGAGGTCAGGATGCTTATTTTAGGTATTTTGGAAATGAGCAAGGAGAATATATTGCTGTTGTACATACATTGTTTAACAGAATTTGGGACTTATGGGGAGAGTTTATAGTGTTTTTTGAAGGGTGTTTATTATAAATATTTAAAATGATAAGCTTTTGGATTTGAAAATTCAACAGAAAACACTGTATAGAATTATAAGAGCTAAAGTGTGTGGACTTATTTCCAAGATGCTGGTTCTAAAGCTTCATCACCTCTCAAACTGATATGTGTATACCAGTGATAGGGTTAAAGTGCAAGTCCTGGGTCAGTGCTTGGTGGACCCCAAGACTACATTTCTCACAAATGACTGGGTGAAAGCCATGCTATTCCACTACAAACAGCAGTTTGAGTAGTGAAGTTCTAGGTTAATGATCTCCACATTTTTAAATCCCATTAAGAAAATTACAGTTATTTATAAACCACATAAAAATACTTGTCACCAGTTTTCCAAGGAATAATATACAAAAAATAATATACACTCATGCAAAGGTCATTGGTAAGAACAGTAGCTAAGATCAAAGTTTTGTTACTATCAGGGGTTCTCTTGTATCTTTTTCCTTTTACCAATTTCTGGTTAAATCTGATCACCTTGTTATTTTATCGCATGATGTACCTGAGAGGAATTAAGAGACATAGTTAAAACTCTGCTATTTTCTGTTTGTACTGCTACCCCCATTGTAGTTTTTTACAGAGCTTATTTAAAGCCACTTACCATTTCATGAAGATTGTTCCTGTAAAAATCCATCAAGCCACCTTTTCAATTGGGCCCATGAAAAATGTAGCTTGGTACAATATACAAGAAACAGTAGAGGGCCCCACTGCTAACCCCAGGGGTGGGCTGAAGACTGTCCACTGTCTTGGGTACTAAGTACAAGCATCTCTATGTGATTGGAGCTGTCAGCCACTTGTACTGAGTGAAGATGCCTAGGCTCCTGTGGAAATGACAGTGAAGTCTATGGTTCTCATGTTTTGTTTTGTTTTTTTTCTTTATTTGTTGTTTTGAGGTGGGATCTCTTGTAGCCCAGGTTAGTCTCAAACTCTGTATGTAGCAGAGGCTGGCCTTAAACTCCCAGTCCTCCTGCCTCTACCTCCCTCAAGATGGGATTACAACTGTGCCCCACTGTGACCAGCTAGATTTTCATAATTTCAAGTTTAAAATGTGAATAGAAATGCTAATGATTTCTTTATGCATCCTACTAAGTTATTTTGCATATTCAAATGGGGTATAAGAACCTCATTTGAAAATTAATGTTCTTGATACCAAATATAATTTAGCTTTCCATAGCCACAGGTTCTATATCAGCAAACTCAACTAACAGAAGATAGGAAATACTTGCAAAAAAAAAAAAAATCCATACTGAACTTGCACAGACACATTTTTTCCTGTTTTATTCCCTGAACAATGGAATATGTCAATTTACACAGCATTTACATTATATGAGGCATTATAAATAATAATGGAGGTTATTTAAAGGATTGGATGTGTAGAGGCTGTTTCAAACTCTGTGCCATTTTATAGGAGGGACTGCAGCATTTGTGTGTGGTGCAGCTTTTCTAACCCACATTACAGCACTGTCTGAATGAACAGCCTGACTCTTAGCATTCATTTTAAGACCAAGAGCGGACCCAAACTCTGAGCACCCATTCCTTCAGATGTCTCATGAACTGTGCTCTCCAGCCAGGCTTCACTCATTCTTTTATTGAAATAGAATCTCCAGCATGGTTTGGGGAAGTAGAAGCTAGGACCTACCCTTACCATACCAGAAAAAAAAATCTTGCCCTTTGATCCCTAGGCCTAGAATATCATATACACAATTTCAGACTTCTCAATTCTTCTCACTGTTTTCAGTGAGCAAAACATACTGCTTTCAGCACTTTGATACATAATGATGCATATCTATATTCATTCACTATCTCGGGTGGAGGGGCAAGGAGAGGTTCTGAGGGATTAAGGTCGGATGGCCAGGACACAAGGGGAGCAGATAGCTCAGGGAACTTGTTTATATTTTAAACAGTAACCTTTTGGTTACAAGGTTAAGTGAAAGTCATTAGTCCAGACTCTGTCCATATTGTAAACATCATTACTACACTCAGGCATGTGCGGGGACCCTGGAACCACTCCCCTGCAGATACCAAAGGTCGACAATGAATCTGCAGAGATTCACTTTTGCTTGCTGTTTGCTTGGTTCTCTTACTCCCTCATTCCATGACTGTCACTCCTGTGGTATTTAAGAGCTTATTAGCAGAAGCTAGGAGGATAGCAGAAGCACGAGGAGGGATCAAGTGCCTGTCCAGAGCATGATGGGAAGACAGAATGGAGTCTAACACACCCCAGGTGTGGGGAAGGCTTTTTTAAAGAAAAACTGCTGTGGAGCTCAGAGCCACCATTTCACACACTGGCTCAAGCACCTTGTTACTGTAAATCATGTAGTGTTATGGAAGCTGCACTTCACATGTGCTCCACAGCCTCACACTTGGTTCAGAGGAACTAACTTGCTGGATTCTAATCCTGTCTCTATTACATGCAAACTAGTGACCCCAGGCAACTGAGTGTGTTTCTTCATCTGTAAGTGGGAATAATTATAGTATTTATCTCATACCATTTCTGGGAGGATTAAATGAGATAGAATGGGACCTCAAACTGAGTAAACTAGCTGGGAGTGTAGCTCAGGAAGCACTTGCCCAGCAGGCAAGAAGCCCTGGCTTCCGTTCTCAGCACTGCCAAAAAGAAAGAAAAGAAACTTAGTAATAAGCATTTAGTGCCATGAAAAGTATTCAAGAAAGTTTTTTAAAATTACATTTTATTTATTTGCTTTGGGGGCAGGGGAGGTTGTATGCCATGGCCTGGATGGAGGACAGAGGACAGCTTCTTTACTTCTACCATGTGGGTCTTGGGAATTGAACTCAGGTCATCAGTCTTGACAGCAGGTGACTTTACCCACTGAGTCATTTCATTGGCTCTATATTCAAGAAAGTTTTACTGGAGGCAGATTAAGTGCTACTTTCCCTTCAAGTGTTTGGTAGAGAGTAAGTAGATGGAGCTATGTGTCTTCAGCTCTCAAGGGTGAAATCCTGGTCATCCTTGAGTAATGTTTTATAAACTCTAATCTTACAAAACTGCCTAAATAGACCTAGCAGTGCCTGTTATTTGGTAAAATTCCAGAATAAAGAGAACAGGGTTAACCAGGCTATCCTTAGGCCAGCTCTCTGCAAAAATTCGATTTCTTTGGTGATGGCATTTGCATGGAACAGGCGTTTAGCACCTTAGCCTTTTGACTTTCCCAAGGTCTTTTCCAGCCATTCGTGAACAGGCTCTAGCCAGTCGTTTGGACACCTGACATGAAATACACAACCAAATTCTGTAATTGGGCTTCCAGTCTTACTCAAAGTAGACAGTGGGTCTTCCTTTATATTCTAAAAAGCCATTGTTGAGATATGAATTGGTTCTTAAGATATTTTTGGTTTGTGCACAGTTTTTGCAAACATGAGTTGTCATTACTCTGTATAAATTGCTTCCATCCTGTTCATTGTTTTGAGGGAGTTGTTTGCAACATAGTTACTTTAGTCAGGTGTTTTGTTCTTGTCAGAAATGTACTAGCAACTGACATTGACCCTGGTTTTAACTGGCATTGTCTATTATGTTCTCTGGACCCCCTGGCAGTACATTTTACAGGGGATTATCTGTGGTAGGAGCATATTAACCCACACTGTCATTTCTCTTGACTATTCTGTAATATTTGCTGAGTGAAAGAATTCTCCAGATTTAGGCTTCTAAACAGATGAGGTCAATCTATACTGTGCTTGCCAAGAGAAACATGCCTTTGCTGCCACTGAAGCACAGAGCCTCTGCTTGAGAGGAAATCCTCTGATGGACATCTGAATTAATCTGTTGAAGAATATCTAGGGAGAAGAGGCACATAGACAATTGACAGGTGCAGCGTGAAATGGTGCTTCTACTTGCCTGTTCCATAGAATGCTCCTGAACCATTTTAGAGAGAAGGGCTTCTGTGACTAATGCATTTAGGGTAGCATCTGATGCATTTTTCCTGAGGACCAATTTTCCCTTTTAAAAAGTTATCAAGTATCCCAAGCTTAGAATGGTGGCTCATGCCTTTAATCCCAGCACTTGGGAGGCAGAGGCAGGTGTATCTCTGTGAGTTCGAGGCCATCCTAGTCTACATAGTGAGTTCCAGGCCAGCTGGGGCTACAGGGAGACCCTGTCTCAAAAAGACAAAAAAAAAAAAAGTTATCAAATATCCCAAAGGGCATTAATTTATGTGGTTTATGTCTATCAGTACTCACTTTAGAAATTAATACTAAGGCATTATAAAGATATTGACTTTAAATTTTATTTAAAAATAAAAACAGTAAGCCCCTTGCATTTTAATATAAATAACATTTTCATGGATTATTATTATTATATTTTCCCCAAAAAAGTTTTTTTCAGGTTTATTTATT